CGCGGCTGCGCGTGGCCCGGCCCGCAGCGGAGGGGCCGCACAGAGCTGCCGCCGTTCATGGCACGTTATGGGTCTGGGAGAAAAGCTGCTGCGGGCAGGAGGCACGTCAGTGATGACCAGTATTCCTCTGCCGGCTTGTTCCTGCCCTTTTAAAACTCACATGACCTTTTCTCATCAGCCGAAGGAAAACTATGCTTCCCCAGGATCAGGCTTGAAGCAGAGCTCTGCAGGTGACACAAAATACATTTAACAGCTTTTTAATATTCAAAAGCTCTGGGTTTGGTTAGAAGCATTGCCAGCACAACTACAGTGGGAGGTGACATTAAATATATCAGGCAAACCAAAATGAACACAATTTTGTTACTTTGCTGTCTCTGCCCCAGCTGCTTGTGATGCTTTTTCCTCCCTCTGAGCAGCAGCCGTGTCTAAGGGCTGTGTGATGCCCCCAGCTGCTGTGGGTCCGGTGGCAAGGAGTTCCGCTTTGCCCCCAGAGGACTCAGGGTGTCTCTGCGTCCCCCCGCGCAGCTCACCGGGCACTGGGATGGAAACCAGCCTCTTGCACAAGTTGCGATATGTGTGTCTGCCATCACTCTTCAGGTGGCTGCTTACATCAGTTTTTATCCTAAATGCCTTCATCACATTAAGTCTCATCTTCGTGGAAGGGTAATTCCCTGTAATGGATCCTGAATGCGGCCAGGGAGGTGTCTGCAAACCATCCTGCGCAGGATGAGCTCGCTGCTCTGAGCATTGCCCTGGCAGGGAGGAGTGGGGAATGGCTGCTTGCGTGGCCCAGATACACCTGCGATTATATCTGGGGATTTGTCCAAAACCAAAAAACTTTTTGAAAAGGAAGCACACACTTAGTGCTTTCTCTTCATCATGATACTAACTTCAAGTGTCTTAGAAATATAGGCCAAAAAATCAGCTATGCGTATAAGTTTGCCGTATCAAATGCATGACATGTGGCTGAGAACTTCCTGGTCTGCTCTGCCGGTCTGAATCACGCAGCGGCTCTGAGGGGGGGGTGCTTAATGCTGCAGTTCACAGCCTCAGAGCAGTCACTGTGCCTGTCATCAGCTGCGCCTCCAGTCCTTGGATTTCCTTCCGCTGAGGGACGTTAATTAAGTTGTCTTAATCAGGATGCAGATTTGCAGCATCAGTCCACAACAAAAGGAATCAGCTTTAAAGACTCCCGTGGTGCTCTCAGAGCTCCCCTGGATGCAGTTTTGTGCTCGGTGAGGAGCATCCAGCTGTGGGGGTTTGGTGATTTATCAGCTGAGGTATAGGTGAGCGCGTGTGTCGGTGATGTGTGTGCCGGAGCAGCTTGGTAAGTGTTGCTGTGCACTGAACTCGCTTCAACAAATACCATCGAAACTCATTCCTGTGAGGTATTAGACCCAAACCTGCTGCCAGAAACAGAACTGGTGGATGTGTGAAGCCTGTCCAGCAGTCATTCATAGTCACCTTCCATTCAAGTTATCGCCCCATTAATTGCTTTTCTTTTCCAGGACTGATTTTGCCAAGGAGCTTCATTAGTGCTGAGCTATGTGTCAGGTATTTGCTTTTTGTACATACACAGTGGTTTCCATTGTAAAACTATTTCTTTGTCACGTCCCAAATGGGCTGGAAACCTAAATTTAATGATTGGGTGTGCCTCTACTTCTTCCAGCATGCTCTTATAAGAACATACTTACGTGGGCGCTGTTTCCAGGCATGTAACTGAACGGGTATGTGGCAGAGGATTTTCATATGTCCCTGTTGCTGCTTATAGAGTGGACAGCACAGGAGAGAAGTGCCTTTGGAGCCGGGCTTCTCTGAGGATGTTCCTCAGGTAACTGATTAATCTGAGTCCTGGAGATCTCTTCGGTTTGAATGGTCTCTGCACAAAACCTTCACTCAGGTTAATCCTGAAACAGGATTGAAAACAGGAGAAACATCCCATTCTGCTTCTAGACCAGGCTGCTCTGTTCAAAATAAATATTAAAATAAACCCTAAACCCAACAAAAAACATCCCAAACAAGTGCATACTAGTAAAGGAGATGGCAGGCATGCGACCTACTGCACAGACACTGTAAATTAGCGAGCTCCAAAAGGAGGAGGAAGCCGTTACACAGACGGTTAATGCAACGCAGTTGGGAATGCAAAGGTACAGTGCTCCCAGAAACACATGTAGCCTCGCTCTTTATTTATTACCCTGCGCGGTAGGGAGCGGCTGTGTTTATACGCGGAGGGAGCCGAGCCTCAGAGCTGGGCCGAGCTCCCTGGTGGGGACCCCCGCGGGGGCCACTGCCCGGGGCTCTGCTCCCCGCTCTTACCAGAGGGATGTTCATGAACTACCTGCAGACCTCTCCTGTGCAGAAACGTTTCCAGTCCAGCTCAAGAGGCAAAAGCTGGGCGAATGGATTTGCTGTGCTCCTAACACGCTGCAATTTCTTTCCAAGCCGCTGGATCCGTACGAGCGAGGATGGAGGTGCCGGGGAAGCCCCGCCTGAGGCGAAGCCTCAGCGACGACCCCAGGGGCTCCACCAGCAAGGCATGGGATGGCTTCTGGAAGAGTGCACGGGAAAAACGCCTCGCAGGTCAGTCCAAAGGCATATTTAATCCCATGCTGGTGTGAATCAATCATCAGGGCTATGGCCTTGATCAAGGAATGAAAATACCTCTACTTTTTTGGCAAGTGTGCTCCTTTTAATGCTGCTGCGTTGTGTGTCATGCTGGTGTGTCGCACCAGAGTACTTGCCTTCACCCGTGCTGCTTTTTTCACTTGCGGGACCAAGTGGGTTTTTTGAACTGCTAGTTTGTATATAGAGCTGCAAATTCTCAGATTTATCTAGAATTTGGTTTCTAGCTTTCAATATTCATACCTGTTCTTTGGCTAGAGTTTTGTAGACATTTTAAAATATGAAGGTGTCAGTCGGCTGCGCAGTGCCCAACAGCCTCTTCTCAAGATGCACAAGTAATGCTTAAAGCTGTATGATCGCAAGCAGTTGTGAGCACAAGCCCAGAAATAAGCCTGAAGGACTAAACAAAGTAATATTCACTTAGATACCAGCCTTTGGGTAATGATGCATAAAGAGCTCAGGAGAATATAGCAAAAATTCACGTTCTGAGAAACTAGTTAGTGCACAGACTAACACGCTGCTGGCCTGTTGCTTGGGGGGGGGGGGGGGGGGGGGGGGGGGGTGGAGGGGCTGTCTTTTTGGTGGGGGGGGGGGGGGGGAAGTGTGAGTGTTGCATGGCAGGATGAAATCAGCGCTTATGAAACACTTTTAAATAAAACCTCCTTCCAGAACAGTGATGTGGCTGGAAGGAGCTTTGGGGACTTTAAGCCTGGTATATTGTGGTAAAAATACATATGCTCTTGGGAGCAGTGAGGAATACTTGGTAGGTGAATACAAAGAGTTTCTTCCAGAGCTTTGATTTCAGATCTGGCAGATTTTCAGAGTGAAGTCAATACAGAAGTTCTGGATAAATCCAGGTACGATGGAGGTAAACCTTTCCAGAGCATCTCCGAGTGCACATAGTACTGTCGTGTCCTGTTAACAGCTACTGTGGGCAGCCCAGCACTGGAAGGCCGTGCTAAGGTTATTTTTAAGTTGAACTCCAAAGCTTTAAGTGGACAGGGGGTAACAAAAAAATCCATTACTCAGCTTTTGCCTGCACTGACTGCAGTAGGAGCTAATTTGATGTAAGGCTGAATAGGTAACGCCTATGCCAGTTCATATTTTCTTCCTTCTGCCATTTGTTGCCATTATGCTTTTGGGTGTTGCTGATGTTCACAAGGACTCTAATGAACAACGTGGGCAAAAATAAGAGAGTAGGTAGTGGGGAATAGCTTGACTAAAACAAGTGGAACATGAAACCTCCAATTTGATCCTTTCAGCCTGGCAATCTGTGCCGGTCAGAGCAATACCGGGGCTAAGGACGGACACCTGCAGGAGAGGGGTTGTAAAGGAGCAGGCGATCCTGAGGACCGGTGTGAAGGCAGAGCAACGAGCTGACCAGGCTCGTTCTGCTGGTACTCCACAACGAATATTAGTGGCTCTGTTACAGCCATGAAGCTAAACCAAAGCCTGGGTCAAGCCAACCCCTAGCACGTGGGGAAGGTCAGCTTTCAACTTTAGATCTGAGTTTCCCCCTGTTCTGTATATTTGCACTAAATCTGAGGCTCCTCTGATCATGCCGTGAAGAGTTTAGATCAAGAGCTAACCTTTGTCACTCCAGGGTCCCTGGGTTTTGCACCATTTAATGTCTGCCGGGGCTGGTCGGGTGCCCTGCAGAGGCCAACTGGTCTGCTGCGCGCTCAGCGGGAGCCGTGCTACTCGGGGTGGCCGTGCTGCAGCCCTGCTTGATCAGCGCTGCTGGGAAGTGGGCAAGTCCCAGGAGGGGCAGGCGGGTGGGTTTGGTGCCAAGTATCACCTGGGAACACGCGTGGTTACACCCCCCATGAGGCTTGTCTGGTGCCTGTGCTTTGCAGGAAGGTTTCTGGTATACTGCGTAGTGAAAGTATATGGAAACAGCCACTTGCAACTGTTGGACAAAAAATATATATAATGTTTTCTTTGGCTGGAACCAAGAACTTCTTGTCCTTGACAGATGCAAATGCATGGCAGAAACCCTTAGAAACAGTTTGCTTCCCTGGCTAAGTCCAGATTTTTACCTTCACGTTGTCTTGTCTTTAAAAACAAATAAATAAACACCACCACCAGATTGGTTTTATTGACCTTAACATTGGCCTGTCTTTAAAAAGTTAAAAAATTAAAATAACCACACTAGCTTGGTCCAAGAGGGCTCTTGGGATCCGAGAGTCTGACCCCTCCTTCAGGGTGCTGACCCTCCAACTCTACCATTTCACTTCTTAACATCAGCATCTCTAGTATCTCCTTGGTGTTTCTTGAAGTGTAATTGGCATCTACAAGCCAAAGCATAACTGGAAAGCTCTCAAGAACCATTTTCTAAAGGTTTCTTTTCTTCTTTTTCTTCTACCTGATGTTGTCAGGAAATCTGGGACTGGTGTGGTCGGTGCGATGTGGGATTTTGGGGTGGCTGCTGCTCCGAGAATCAGCCTGAGCTGACAAGGCTAAGGGTCAGTTCTGGGCTCCTTTTGATTTTTGGTGTTTACAGAAAGATGTGAACTTGATCCTGCACGTTTTTTCAGGAAGCCTTTCTAGGATGTCAAAAATAGTACCTCTAGCTGCCCACCTAGCTGTCCAGCTACCTGTCCGCAAGTCTCACACTCCAAGCTCTCAGGCTGTGCGTTAGCAAGTGCAGATGTGCACGGAGCAGAGCCTCAGGCAGCCAGCCCACACGCAGGGCCCGATGACAGCCCGGGGGTGGCGGGGGCTGGGGCTGCGCTGGGACCCTGCACCGTGTAGCACGGAGACGAACGCTGGGCTTGCTAAGTAAAGTGCCAGTGGTGTTCCTCCTCTCCAGCACGTGGTCCCCGTCCCCAGCTGGCAGCATCTCAGGCAGGGCAAGAGTAATAAATGTTCTAGTTACTGAAAAAGGCTTTCGAGATTATTTTTTTTAAGAAGGCTGGTGGGTTGCGCATAGCCCGTTCCACCCGTGGCATGCATTCATCTTTGCAGAGACAAGAGATTTTGTAGCAGTATTTCCACCCAGCAATCAGCCATTTTCTTGCCAGCGGGGCGTTCCTCTCTCCAGCCCCGAGACTGTGTTCAAAATAAGTCAGAGCTGCGACCACCAAACTGAGATATTTTTTCCCCTGAGCCTACAGGCACTTCACTCTTTATAAGAAGACCTTTCAGAGGTGCCAAGGGGCTTAACTGTTATTGCAAACATCCCCGTTCCTCTTTCAAAACAAGAAGCAAGTTATTCTTTGGGCTGAAGTTACGTTCCAGTTTGGAAGTTTATTGACGCTGTGAGTAAGGCACGGTACGCTCCTCCCCAAGGATGGAGCAAAGAGGCTGTTGGACTAGTTTGGGACTTTCAGTGGAGGAATAGGATGTTGGGAGTTGTATTCGTGTGTAAGAGCTATGATTTGGGGGTCTCCAAGGTCCTCAAACCGCTTTGAAAATCTTAATTTTAATTTGTGTGGGCTGGTCATGACTCCGGCACTGGAGCACAGAGGAGTCTGAGCTGAGTTTGGTAGCACCAAACCCATAGTCGCTGCTTGCAGTTGTGGAGCCCATCATGCCAGACTAGCATGACAGTCCATTGGAAGCGGTGAGGGTTGATCACGTGTACGTACGAGATGTGTTGGTCAGGAGGAGTATCGAGCATGAATGTTACTGAGGAGCAGAAGTAACACAAATTCTGCCAGGTGGATGGTCTCTTTCTTCTGTAAAACAATAGCTAGAACTTAAATTACAACTCTTCCAGATGGTATGAATAAGGCTCAGCATGATCAGGAAGCCTTTTGAGGAGCTCAGAGTTCAGGCATTTGGTGTTTCTCAGGAAGGTTTGTGTTATCCCTCTGTCCTCAGGTGGTGTAAAGGCACGATCTCCCACTTCTGGTCCCAGAGCATATCTCAAAGACCAGCCTCCAGGACTACAGTTTATTGCCATTCTGGATTTCTCAGAGAGAAGTTGTAAAATAGTAATCCTATTAATTAATTGGGTCTATTAATTAATTAATCCTATTAATTAATCCAATTAATATTAATTGGAAAATATACACACATACATGCACACACACACATATTGAGAGAAACGGTATATCAAAATATATTTTGCTTTAGAAAATAAAACTTCAAAAAATAGAAACTCTTTCAATAGTTTCCTATGAAAAAGTGCCTACCTCTGAACTCAGCCTATCCCTTCCCAGGGTGACACAATTTAGGTAATTCTTAAAAACTCAAGCTATAGCTATCTTAAAAATCCATAGAGATCATCTCTTATTCCAAATACAAGCTAATGGGCTTTTGGCAGTTCGAACCTCTGCTCTTTAAGGTATTTTAATTCTGTTGAGCCATTCACAGCAGCCGTTCTGGCACTTCATTTGGCCAAAGCTGTTCCCTGCTGCAGCAGCATGTGCCCCAGAAGCACAGGCCTTTGTCCCAAGGGCTGTGCTGGTACGCGTGCCGTTGTTGGTGATACGGGTTAGAGCTTCATTTTTTCAAGTTTCCGTAGATATCAAACATGACCTGTTATTTGTCAGAGGAGAAAAATTACTTTTTAATATAGTGTGCTTGATAGACTTGCATTAGAGAAAGATGGGGGAAAATTAGGCATGACAAACGCCTTGCTTTGACAAAGTAATTCTTCATACTCTAATTGTATTTTTTTCTGTACAACAACAGAGGCATTATAAGTTATTGTGACTGAGTTCAATCATGCCTGAGATATTATTAGTTCTTCTACTTAATGGTGTTAAAACCAAAGCTAACACCAAGAAAGCAACTGTATTCAGTAGAGCAAAAGATGCATGTTCTTCTGCCTAATATTATTGTGCCTGTTCTCTTCTAAAAACAATGTTGTGATAAGGCTTTCCAATGAAGGAATTAGGGAACTCTTCAGTACGCTTGTATTTCTGAGTCAATGCAGAGGAGAAGAAAATAAAGCCCCAAGAATGGTATCAGACCTGCTCTTAGCTGGGTCCCCAGAAGGGGAGATGTGC